GAGTGGACTTCCCCTCCCAGAATCCCCCAGCCGGCATGGCTGGCTGAGGAATTCTGGGAGTTGAAGTCCACTCATCTTAAAGTGGCCAAGTTTGGACAACACTGCTATATGGCAATATCAAGGATGGTTACCTGTGGCACTTAACATGCTGCAGAACAGCATGTCCAGTGGTGAGGAACGGTGTGAGTTATAGTTCAACAATATCTTAATGACCACGAATTGTTCTTTCCTGAACTGTACACATGTGTAGCAAACTGTATACATGTGTAGCAAACAAAGAAGTACACCAAAGGTTTTGATGAGGACTGATTTTAATTTTACAAAACCTCCCAGGGCTTTCACCAATATGCTGATCTTGTCAGTCATCTAAGATTCTTTGCATTATCAGATGAAAAAATGAAAGAGATGTAGAATGAAAAATTCTAAAATTTTAGAACTGTTACATACTTTGTGTGAGAAAATTTAATGCAAATTGGACCAGTATCCAAGTGATGTTGGCTGATCTTGAAAGAGCTAAGCAGTGTTGGATCTGGATGGGAACCTATTAAAATTCCCAGGATTTTAGACTTGAGTATGAAATCAAAAAGGGGAAATCAATGGCAAATCACCAATACAACTCATGTTTCCCAACTCACATAAATAGGTTTTCAGGAAGTTACAGGCATTTGCAAAGGAGAGAAAGTTGTAGAAAGGATTTATAAGCAGAACTTCATTTGCCATTATCAACATCCAGTTCAAATTATCTCCAGTTTCATTTTATTTGAAACATATTGGACAAAAAATAGCTGATAGAACTTATCATGTGTAGCAGATTCTAAGCCAAGTAAATACTAAAAAAGGTTTAATCCTATGTAACATCTTAATTTACATTACATTTTCCCAATGTTGTACCTAGCAAAAACACAATTTCATAGAATTAATCACCTAAAAATTTTTTCATTGACCTGTGTTAAAGTCAAATGCACATATTAATTTTGTTAAGTCTACCTTGGTTAGTATTCCACAACCTGGTGCCTTCCAGAGGTGTTAGACTACATATCACAACATCTCAATCAGCATGTCATGGGGATGATGGGAGTCGCAGTTCAACTCATTTACAAGGTATTGGATTGGTAAAGGCTGATTTAGCTAAGTCTTATTGTAATAAATCAAAATAGAAAAAAAAAATTTAAATGGGCTTTAAGCATTTATAAATAGCTTTTTAGTGTGTTAAAGTAAGTCTTTCTCAAGCAAATATTAAGAGAGCTAGGTACAAAGGGCCTTTTGAAAATTTATAAATTTGTGGGAAAAGGAATTGAGTGGTTGATTTCTCTGAATTTCTCTACAGGAGAAGGAATTTTCCAACAGTTTCTCAATGGTAGGACTCCTGGGAGTTACTACAGGATGTCTTTTCTTCCTTGAGATTTAACTGAATTGTGGAAAGTCAGAGAAGCTGAGGACTCTTGAAGAAATTATTGTAGTGGTACAAGTACCCACAGCCACATCATCACTAAGTATAAGAACACTCCATAAACATTTCACCAAAATTATTTTTCTCTTTGGAAGGATTTCTAGAACAAAATTTCTTTCATCAAGTTGAATGTGCATTGACAGGAAAAAATGATAAGAGAATTATTATTATTAAATTTATTAAGGTTGCGCATTCCAAAAGACTCTGGGCAGCTTACAACATCCAGATATACAATTAAAACAGTAAAAACCATGACATTTCTCTGCACATTTCTATAATATTCACAAAGGCCACCTTATTTATCAAACGGCATGTTATTTTAAACAGAGAAGTGTGGAATCTTGCAGAGAAACCTACCCTGGCAAGTTTTTTTATAAAGTACATCCACCTCATTATTATGCATTAATAAATGTATTCATCTTTAAGAAGCCAAAACTCCGGCTGTTTCTGCTAGACAGCTATTTCTCTGGCCATTATCTAAAGCTTCCTGTGCTGAGGTTTTAGCAATATACATTTATCTTCATTTAGTTGATTAATCACCTGTTTTCTAACCAATCAATTCAACTTCTTAATTCATTTCAAAGGCCTGACTTACATAGTATTGTTTAGACTTAAAAATATTTACTTTACCTACTTCCTGCACAGAATGTTATAGTCCATAATGGACTATCATGACATACAGCTCTATTTGCATACTGAAAGATACACTTGAATATTACCTTTCTTTCCAGTGGGAACCACTTGACTATAATTTAACACCTGTTATTTGCCCTGGGCTGCCTAATAAATACATAATCAGGATACTGTAGTGTGTATTTGGCTTGAAAAACTGAGTACTGTAACTCTTACATCAATAAGCCATGGGTAAGCACATACTACTACAGCTAAGGACCATAGAAAATCTGATTTACAAAAACAGTACAAAAAAGGAGGATAAAAGTACAACAGGAATAGAAGCCCACCAATTGAAAATGTCATTTATTTATTTTTTACATTTGTAATTCCCTTTTGCTTCCCAAAAACTCTGAATGGGGGATGTCGTCCCCCCATGCCCATTTGATTCTCATAATAACCACAGAGTTTGGCCAAGAGTTGCTGACTAGCTCAGTCCCCCAGTGAATATCATGGCTAGGTAGCAACAAGAAAGATTATTATGGACTACAAAGAAATCAGTTTACTTCTACTTTCCAAACTAAACCTTTATTATTTATCCTTGCAAGCGGAACAGAAATTACGCTCTTCATAGTAGACATCTGTATCGACTGCCAGATCCGCAAGGATCTAGGAGTGCAAATAGGAATGAGAAAACAGGCTAAGGGTTATATGAAATACTGAATGCCTTATACATTATGCCAGTACTGGTAACACACGTTTTAAAAAAAGAGCTCTACAAACGAGGAAAGGAAGGACTCCTACACTCGCCTGGATGAGAAATTTCGAATTTGTGAGCACCCACAAACTCTATTGTAGTATCGCCTGTGTAACGCTTGTAATTTCACAAACTCTTAGGGGATAAACTGATTAACCGACTCGATTAACACAGAAATCGTTCTTTACAGTAAAAGAACGGCGTTTTAGACGGCAAGCTGGGAGCTAAATTTCTCAAAAGCCAAGCTCACATTTGGGCACTCATTCACCATCCCGAGACAGAGCTACAGTCCTCTTCTCCGTCTACTCCCATCTCAGCCATTTCTCATTTCAAGTTTGAAATGTGTAATTTAAACAAAATCATACCCTTCTCTTCCCTTCCCCCAAACCTGCATCGGTTAATTATCCTGAAGCATCACTTTGGAGACTTACGGGTGATTCAGGATTCTTGATAATCCCGCGCGGGCTTCCTAAATGTGAATCGATTACCTTCCTAATTAGAAGCCTACCCCTTGCGGAGTGGCGGCAACGCCTTCTGGAAAACTGAGTCCTGCTACTGTTTCCGAACGCCCACTGAACCAGGCGTTTCGGAGCGCTTGAACTACACTACCCATAAATCCATTCTCCTCACCTGAGCTTCTAAATGAGACCGGGAGAACTGGTTTGGTTACTAAAGTTTCACCTTGGGCCGGAAAGAGACGGAGAGAGAAAAGGGAAGAAAGTAGTTCAGTTTGCATTTGTTTTCTGTGGAGTTTGTTTAGTTTGGCCAGGCTTTAGTTGAATGAGTATTTAACTACGTATGGATTCTAGAATAAAAAAGTCAGGGAACGTGGAGGTTAATGTCTGCAGTTACAGAGTCTAGATTTCAAAAATGTATGAAATACATAAAAATAAGACGAGACCTTGTTTTTTAAATTACCTGAGAAACTTTGAACTGCCAGCAAGTGGACAAACTGAAATGGGCCAACAGCTGTAGAAGGTAATATTAGAGGGAAAGAAAAGAGTTGTCAATCCCACTGATTTATGGGGAAGGGATAATGCAGGCATCAGTAACATTGCAATGTTTGTATCATCCCCTTACTTTTAATTAAAATGCAGATTATCATGATTTCCCTGGGGGGGAGCTCTAGACCAACGTGCTTCTAGGCAGAGCAACATTATGGCTCTTGGAAGGCCCTATGCACATTTATCTTTGTAGGCCCTTATTATGTAACAATCCAGTTCAGTATTATAAAGGTATTCCCTGGACCTGTATTATTAATCAGACACATAATAAAGAATAGTAACTTAAATATATTTTATATCCTGTGTTTTACTTTCTACAACTCAAGGCAGCATGCATAATGTTTCTGCCTTCTGCTTTCCCCACAATCACCACCCTGTGAGATGGTTTGGGCTGAGGGAGAGTGAGTGATCCAAGTCACCCAGCCTGATTCCTTGCCAAGGGAGACTGAAACTCCCTGTCTCCTGGTTTCTAGTCTAGCACCTTAACTACTGTACCAAACTGACATAGTGATTTTACTGCTACATTTCAAGTTTTTGTTAATTTAAAACATTTTCAGAGACCCCAAAAGTTTTGTAGACCTTGGGCACAGTCCCTGTTGTGAGGATAATGCGGACATACTTCTGGGAGACCTGATGTTCTCTATAAAGGCTTATAAATGTGGAAGGATCTGGTTCTTAGTAGGGCAAGTCAGAGGAGTATGATACCATAGGAATTGAGTCATACATAAATGCAACTAGAATCATTATCTTCCTTGACAAAAAACATGAACTTCCATTCTTTGAAAGTATAGAGAGTGGGTGTTTAATTTCTGAACCTTTATTTAATGGACCATGATTACAAACAGTTTGAAAATCACTTCTCCAAGCCTCTGCTCTAGCTTGTTGCTAGGATGTTTTGCCCTGATATAGGGTATGCAGGTACGTTAAGCAAAACCAATGGTTTAACCATCCAGTTCTATTGTCTCGCCTTTCTCTACCTTAAAAACTGGTGGAATCATCTTCCAATTCCAACACTGCTGATAGTTGCCAAATAGTTTTGGCAAATGGGTAGTCCCATGGATTTAGCTATATAGCAAACTATGTTACCAAGTCTGCTGTGGATGGGATTTAACCCATAATTTTACCATGAAGGGGTTTGTTTTCCAGATACTGTTTATGCATAGGCATCCAGTTCAAGTCATCATGGACCTCTTAGCATCACACAAATGACACTAATTATGTCATTTGTGCAGTGACATATAGTATGACATATAGTATGTCATTTATGCTATGATATGATGCATATCATTTGCACCCCTTGCCCTCCTCCCCCCCAGAAATCCATGTGTTCATTATATACTAACATAACAGTTACAACTGAAGTAGTTTTTTTTTTTTTTTAATTGAAGCACTGAGCTGGTAACAGGCAGCCCTGGAAGTTGAATATGGAACTAATTATTCTATTATTTTTTAACTGATTTCTGGCATTAAGTATTATACTAGCTCTTTAGTGGAAGTTTAGATTAAAATTCACATTACATTAAATTTCAGACTAGTAATTGTTCTCAGAAGTGAATTATATTAATGCTGAAGGGTGATTCCACCGAATAACTGTTGATTTCTGGTTTCTGACACACTTCCACAATGACTAAAATAACTACCTAGCCCCACCCAGTAGACACCAGATTTAGATCTTGACGTTAGTCTTTGGAATGCTCAACACTAGTGTTGGCTAATAAACAACTGTGTGCTTCAATGGATTAATCAGAATATTTGTAGAAGAACGTGCATACCATTCAGGCAGCCAATAACAATAGGAGCTGTCTGCTCGCTCACTCGCTTGTTCATTCATTCATTCTTTTTTTTTTCCATGCAGCCAATTGTGGCTATTATTATGTCAATATAATAGTTAAATAGTTTGAGGTAGGATAATTAGAAAAGAACAGCCAGGCATGACTAAAAAGGTGAGGCCTGGGTTGCAAACGAAACAAAACGGGTTTATCCAGAAACTGAGACACATAATATCCATCTTATTCAACTTTTTACCTTCCAGTTATCATTAAAGACATCTAGGGACACCAGGTTGTAGATAAGTGCAGTGTATGTATGTATGTATGTATGTA